CATTGTAACTGGATAGCAAAGAGGACGATCATCACATTGTGGATGTTTGACGCAGATCGTGTTAGATTGAAGACATGAGTTGTCTGAGGAATTACATGGTACAAGACGAGAGCATGTGGGCCAAAGAAAGCCACAAATACCAGCACCGTCATCAGCACCTAACATATGAAAACAGCCACAAGCATTGTTTGTCGAACACTGACCATACTGAGCAGTTTTCTCACATATTTGAGATTGTATTTGAACTATGAAAGTGATAAACTAATACATATAAACTCAAATAAAATAGAATAGAAATCAAACCTGTTATGCTAAAATATTAAATTGGTGAATGTTAGCAAAATGAATGATAAAAATGAACAATTATTTACCTGAGAACAATGAAAATAACGTAGCTGTAGATCATAATAGTAGCCATCATTAGTTGTAAACTAAAACAATATTGTGCAGAAACGTGTGCTTTTATTTCTAAAATATCGATGGTATCTTAAGCCAATTTAATTGAAATATAACAGATTCATTTATTCAGATATCCATAATTGGAAATTTGATATTGCTTTCATTTCTTTGTAATCGTTTTGATTCTATTCTATAACAAATACAATAAAAACGAAATTAAAAAATGCATGGGTCATCATGTGATAAAGTTAAGATTCAAGTGGTATTAATATATTTTTAAAGAGTGAAATATTTGTCAGGAATAGTCGTTTTCAATATTGGAAAGAACTATTGCTTTAGAATGTAATTTCAGATATACTTTTGATTTGTATTTAATAGGAGAAGGAGAATATTTTCGGTAGTATTTAATCGATAAAATACAAACACTTAGAAGAAAAGTAATTCTGAATGAAAAGAATTACTTGCAACTCTATGTGACGTCAGCAATACCTTTATCAAAATCTTCAACAGCTATGTGAAGTGCGGGTATGAGTGTTGGTGTGAGTATCATGTTCTTTTCAGCTACATTCAAGCCATACCCACACCCTCAAACCTTTCTATTAAAGCATTGTATTGTTTCAATTGGTAAACAATTTATAAATATTAAAAAAGGAATTTGAAAGAATTGTATCTGTAAGATGAATGATAAATTAGATTTTAATTATTCATACTTTTAATGAACTTTATTCTTCACTAATAAAAAATATTTTAAAAGTGACAAAAAACAATTGTTTATCAAATGTCATTTTATCATCAAAAGCTGTTTCAGTCAAGATTAATAATAAATTTTTGTATTCTATTGTTTTCTGTATCGACAACATAAAGATTACCATATCGATCAAATGATAAATCATATGAATAGCTGAGTTGCGTGGATCCACTTCCATCTTCTTTCTTACCAACGACAGGCGCACCTTCCATTTCATCTGGCGACCATCGGGTTATTTGATGACTTCCCATATTCGACACATAAATATTACCCATATGATCAACAATCACACCAGTGGGACCAACCATTGAACCAGGATTTTCTTCAGGAACTTGCGTTGGAGCAATACGAATGCCTTCAGCTGCATTTTTCATCCATTTCATCACACGATTATTTCTAGTATCCGCTACATAAATTGAATAATATTCATCGACAAAAATATAGGTAGGATTACTGAGTTGATTAAACTGATTTCCTTGTCCATTCCCACCTGCTACAATTGTACCTTCTCTATCTCCTTCTTGCCAACGTCTGACTTGATGTCTTTCCATGTCAGAAATATAAAGATCTCCATTATTATCCATTGCTAAACCCCAGCAACCAATAAAAGGTATTAATATTTGTTGATCCTGACTATTTTGGCGAGACCATCGCACGACTCGCATGTTGCCATAATCACAAATGATGAGATGTTTTTTCTCTCTATCAAGAATTGCATCCATTGGATAATTCAATTGATTTATTGCACTTCCCATTCCGTTTCCACCCGCAACTATTTGACCATTGGCTGCATCAAATTCCCATCTAACAATACGATGATTGCCACCATCAGCAATGTAAATACATTGATCATCATTATCAACATACATACCATAAGGCTGATTTAATTGATTTAATTCACTTCCCTGTCCATTTCCTCCAGCAATAGTTATTGCATTTTGTTTCCATTTCGAATTGATATTAACTAAAACAGATCAAATTTATAATTGCATCTATCATCCACTGATACACTCACTTATCATTGGTGGACATATGTTTTCTTTCATCATTGTAACTGGATAGCAAAGAGGACG